CTGCTGGCCTCGATTCTTATTCACCTGTCTTTTCCGCACCCCTGTTGGCGATGATTGAAGTATCTTGTAGGTTTCCTAGCTGCTTGGCATTCGGAGGTTGGCTCCCGTCACCTTGCGTCATATCTCAACCGGGCTTCCGTTGGAAGGGGGAGTGTCGAGGCTTGTGCATCCTCAATATCACTTCGTCTTGGTAGCAGCATCTCCAGAGTTGAAGCTCCTCAAGACCTTCTTCCGCTGCTTCATCATGTACGTGTAGAGCACATACGAGCCTGTCTGGTATCAGCCGGCATGTAACAAGAGAACCACCACGGACAACTCACCCGGAATGTAGAGGCTCAGGCAGAAGTAGGCGATGTACGGCCACGCTTCGCCGCGTTTCTTCAGCGGCTCAACAGCAAGATAGACCATGGCGCACTCGCTCAGGAAGCCGATAGGGTACAGCACGTAGAACATGCTGTAGCGCAGCCAGACCAGCCACTTGGGCTTGAAGCCGTTCAGGATGGACACGAAGTACGAGTACCGGACGACTTCGGTGATGCTCCAGGCGAGGAGCATGGATGTGTAGGCTGGATGGCGGGCGCTGGCGGGGAATGGACGGACGTAGCCCCAAAGAACAGCGCAACGCGCGAGTACCTGCAGCGCCGTGGTCGCGATGGGCGAGGGCACAATGCCTAGAGATGGTCAGCGAGTGGATTTAAGTCTGCACAGTGTGTTCAGGGCCGTACCAAGCACTGAGTGCAGAATCTCAAGGCATGCGGCTGTTTGCGTCCACTGGGTCAGGGATGCGACCCCCTCTGGAACCGCTGCCGGGCCACGGGTGCTGAAGATGGTGATTGTGCGGGTAAGGATGATGGCCCAGACAGCGGCCGAGGCGCCGTTGTAGAGAACGAGATAGGCATTCCGGATTGAGCTCCGCGCCGGCGGCGGTGTCTGTGTCTTCTGGGCGGACATGCTGCTCTGCCGCTGCGATCTGATCTGTAAAGGTTGTAGATGCAAGATGAAAAGAAAAGTCTCGACATGTGCCTCGGCACTGAATGAGATTGAGGCGCAGTCCTTAGGGGCTGGTGATTGGCTCTAAAGGGGGAATGAGATGGATGACGGTGATGGTGGAGCTTCGGTCGGCGATGGCTCTCATCTTGGGCAGTTCACCGAGAGTCTGGGCCCCTTACATTCATGGTGGGCCGTTGTACAGTGCGTGCTTGGTCTCCCCCTTTTCGGGGCATTCTATCTATCGTGTGAATTCATTTCGCTATGCCAATGCTGGAATCTGGAACGGGCTCTAATGCGACCGGGCCAGCCTCTGGATCCTGCGCGCAGAAGCTGTACTGAGCTAGAGTTGAGGTTCCAGTTGTCGCAGTATGGTTTCCTGTAGACAACGAGGTCCCTCCCTCGGCCTGCCGCCTCAGACGTTCTGTCTCGCCCCTGGGTGCGACCTGTCTGTTTCGCCATCTCACTCTGTCCGACTCGGGCGCATCAAAGCCTAGCCACGCCCGAACAACACGCAGCAAGGGCCTCAGTGTCGCGATGCAGGCGGCGAAGATGCCCATTCCTGGCTCAACGGTACTCCAAATGGCAAAATTGGTCGTGTGGTCTGGCCAGTCAGCTTGGGTTCCCATGCGACAGGGCATTCTTACATAGAAAGTCTTCGCCACTGAGGAGCGAAGGGATGTAGATGGCTCGGACGATCGTTGCGATACTTCCGCTGGGCGATGTTAGGCACAAGTCCCCCACCATCTCGTCCACCTGGGGCACCCACACTGCGGCAATGCTCAGAATGGCAATGACGACAATCTTGGTCCGTCGTGGGAGATGCATCGACCGCACCATGAAGTACGGCAGCGTGCCAAACAACCAATCCGCCGTCGTGTTCAGCACCGTGGCTGTGATGGTCATGATGAGAATGACATCTGACGCCCAGCATTTGCCCGGCGTGCGGGGGCCCTCTAGCCAATACGTGCGCAAAGGCTGGCACTGGAAAGAGATCATGAAGAGGTAGACTGTTCCAAATCCGATCGTCGACCACATGAACAGGAGGATGAGCCATCGGTGGACGCGTGTCACGGCGAATCGAAGGAGGAAGAAGCCGACGGAGATCTTGAGGAGGCATGTCGAGACGACGTTAAGAAGCTCTCCGATCAGCCACATCTGCGGAAGAATGTTGTCAGCATAATCTTGGATGCAACAAAGTTCCTGGGAGGGAGACCTGCCTTGAGCGAAATACTTCTATCGGCTGGGCTCATGGACGAGTCGTGATGGCCGATGCCGCGCGTGGCTCCGTAGATTTGGGTACCGAGATATGCGGAGAAGATGACGAGCAGAGCCAGCATCGTCTTGTCATCCATGCCGAAGGACCGAACGAGGTAGAGTCGACAATACATTCGCATGGCCACGATGATCCAGCTGATGATCAGGAAGAACGACGCCACCGCAATGACGAGCCCTCCGAGATTCGGGCTCGACTCGTCCATAAGGGGCAGATACTCGCAGCCATGGGTCGTGATGCAAGGAACTGGCTGCGAGCACAGCAATTCGAGAAGGTTGGGGTGTACAACTCCGGGTCGCACCGCGACTCGGGGGTGTCAGGTTTAAGAGCGCAGCAAATCCACCCGATGCACTGCAATGATTTCGCCAAGTCCAGCCGGGCCTTCCACATGCGAACCTTGTTACCGAAACGGCCAAAGCTGCGAGCCTTCGGGCCTGGCCGGCCTCTCGACGGTCCCAGCGCCGTCGATCTGGCTCCCAATCAGCGTCATTACTCTGACTTCCGCGGGCCGCGCCGAGCCAATGGTGCCACGCGCAGTGAGACTCTTGGGCGAATTCCATCGGACTGCCTGAGCTGAAGGCGCGTGGCAACGTACGTGCACCCCAAAGAAATGTCGCGACGGATCCCGGTTAGCAGCGACGACATTCCTTTTCCCGCGCGTCGGTTGGTGTTGAAGTGTCTCGTGATCTCAAGTCGGTAGTTATAAGCGAGTGCCATCGCGCAGCCAGATTGGGACTGACGGCGTAGTCCTGGAAGACCAATTTGTCAACGACATATCTGGCCGGATACCCATATGAAGGCTACCAGAGAGTGAGAGCATGGAAGCGTGGTGGGCGATGATGTCCTAGAATCGAATAGCAGGACGCCCACCACCAACCATATAATGCCACTGTAACCTAATCATTGGAGGTGTGACTCCGACGAAACCAAGGCAAGCGCCTTTTGGAGGCAACAAAAAGAATTCTTTGAGCGGGTGGGGAACAAAAGCAAAAGATTGACTCGAGGGAGGCTCGATCTCCCGACCTTCAGTGAACCATCCGTGGATGTTAGACTGACGTGATAACCAACTACACCATCAAGCCAATTGCTGACGGGAAGCAGCAAGCACACACACAGATAGTCTGTCCGCCGTAGCCTATCCAAACTTAAGCATCTCCCGTCCTTCACCTGACCGAAATCTGAGACACATCAGACCCGACATGATCCCATCCAGTCTGGATACGACCTTATGGCTACGGAAGCCCCAGTGACTCTCAAGATATCTTGGTCAATATGGCATCCAACTTGGAGGCACCCTGCACCAAGCAAGGCAAGGTACCTAGCCAGGGATTCAAGGACCATCCCAGGTTTTGGGAGAGACTGGGAGAAGCATTAGTGGCTGTGAGATAGCAGGGTGACTGTTCTTCAATAGGGAAAAAGCCTACTCGCGTGCTTGTCGTGACAGATATCTTGTGCCCATGTTCATAAATCAGCTCGTTCGACAGACCCATGTCGCAGTGTTGCCAGGGATGACTTGAAGTGTTCCATATTGGAGAGAAGAGACATAAAAATCAATTTTCAAAGTAGTCAGAAATGTCGACCTTCTTCCCGTTCTTGTCTTTAGGCAGCTCGATTGGCTCATCTGCCATGACTGGGGTGGCCTTTGCGTCTTGGGCCAATGCCTAAAAGTTTGTCTTGTTGTTGCTGAAAAAGTGCCAGTCCTCTTCCCAGGCAATCTGTCTGTAGTTCTGCGGGTCTCTAGAATTGCCTCTGAAGGCGTCAAGATTCTGATACCGCAGGTGAGGCCCCTTCTCAGGTAGGTTTGCACCTGATGCTCGCAGCCAACGACGTCGAGGTTTGTGAAAATGTGCAGCCTTTCCAATCGGATGAACTGCGGCAGCTTCAAATTGGCCCAGAACAGGTCATAGATTTCGTCTCGGTTATACTGTCGACAATACATCCTCTCCACCCCAACGATGCGGAGATGTTTGATTTGTTTCGCCTGAGGAATGCGCGAGGTTATGTCGGAGCATTTGATCTCGACCACGTCCCGGTCAAAGCTGAACCATACATAGATACGTTCAAGTCGTCGGCCCGGACCTCGGCGGCGACAGCTGAGCGTCTGTTGATAAACTGTCTGAGCCCAGGCCCTAGACTCGCGACAGGCTTGGAGGAGTGGAGGGACCGTGTACCGGAAGCTGTAGTGGCCCCAGTGAAACTTGGAACGCTGGCCAAGTCTGTGTACGTAAATGATCTGGGGCTTGAGATTGTTCAAGGACAGCTTCCATATGATGTTGCGAATTTCCGGGGGTAGCTGAGTAAACTGGTGGAAGGTTGTAAGCGTGGCCATGATGTTTGGAACTTGAAGCTGGGTGGGAAATGGAAGAGATTGCGATTTCGGTTCACGAAGCAGACATTTCTGAGCAGTACCCAAGAAAAGAGCAACGGTAAGGGCCTGGGTCCATTCATTGGTAGGCATGACTTGGTGATGAGTTGTGGCATTAGGAGGCGTCAAGCCGCCGTACTCATTCGACCGCCCACTCGGAGTCATGTCGGAGGCCCCAAACTTCCGACTTTACAGGCATCCAGTGCCAGAAAACACAGGTTCGGAGTCTCTGAAGACACTATCGAGGAGGACAATGACTATTGAGATTCTCAGCATTGAGGCGACTTGCAGGAAAGGCTGTTGTACCTGTGATCGTGTGATTCAAAATGATTACTACATATCCCTTGAATTCACTGATTTCATCATTAAATCGGGTGATTGGTCTAGGGGTATGATATTCGCTTCGCATTTCTCGTCCGAGAATATGACTGTGAAAGGTCATGGGTTCAATTCCCATATCATCCATTTCTTTTGCCGACGCCGCCGACATCCTTTTGCTTCGATCCGCCTCCATCATCAGACGAAGATTGACATGCCCACGATTATGCTTGATTCTTATTTTGATCTTCGTCCAGCAACCGTTTGATCGTGTTCGTGATAAATTTGCTATGCATGCGACGGCCAAGCAGCGGAGTCGGCCGCCCACCCGCAAGACCTCGTCCGAAACGCCCCTTGAAACTGCACCCCGTCAACCACTCCGGCGACAAATCCCACCTCATCGTCACATCCACCCAGACTTGGCTTACCCCCCTAGCCGTCCGAACTCTGGTTCGCGACCGAGCATGTCACAGGTGAGCTGCCACTAACATGCCATCCCGTCCCTGATCGAGGCAGCCATCCCCCGGTCGGCTCGGGTCGACATGGGATGGCGTCGTGAGAACATCAAACCGTGGAGACCCAGGGGGCGCCATCCTGCGGCCTGGCGAGGAGGCTCAGCTTTCTCTATGCGAGCCCCCTTTACCCCTGCCGAGGTTGGCCGTTGATGCTCGAGTACCATTTAGAAATAAGAATAAGAACCCGTCGATCGCCGTCTGATCATGAGTCGGTGATTTGCCCATCCGTCTTCGCTACCGTTCATTTCACTTCCATTCTTTTCGTCCTTCCGGCAAGGAACCTTTTTTTCAGTCACTCTCTCTATAACTCCTGTCTGTCATTTCTTATACCCAGGTTCCTTATCCCCGGTTTCAAGATGCAGTTCTCCATCTCCGTTGTCGCCGCCTTCGCCGGCCTCTCCCTTGCCGGTAAGTTTGCCTGCTTTCTTCGACATGATGACCTTAACTGACCATTTGCGTAGCCCCCTACATCAAGGCCCGCCAGCAGAACGCCTGCTTCATCACTGGCACCACCACCCTCCCCCAGATCGTCGCCGACGATGTGGCTCAGCTGGAGCCTCTGGTGACCTGCGACACTGCCAACCCCACCATCGGCGGCGTCCCCGACGTCGAAGTGCGCGGCACCAAGTTCTCCAGCATCAACTTCGAGGGCTCCGGCCAGAGCCCCCTCGCCTTCGCGCTTGAGAAGTTCGCCACCTCCGACCCTCTCGCTGAGAACGATCTGGACAAATTTCAGGCCGAGCTGGCCGTCTACGTCGCCACCGAGGCGGCCATGCGCTCCAACGGCGCAAACGTCAACCAGATCAAGATCCCCAAGTTCTTCCTCGAGCTGCAGGTCTCGCGTATCGGTGTCGCTCAGGGCGAGACCATCCCCGAGGCCGGCCACCAGGTCGACCACCTCCTCGGCAAGGTGCAGGAGAACGGTGCTGGCGAGGACAAGGCGCTCCTCGACCAGGTCGTGGCCTTGGCGGCGAAGCTGTCGTAATCTGCCCTGACGCGAAGCATGTTCATAATTATTTCAAGTACGTCTGCTAGGCCAGGCCGTGCCGGGGATGGTAATAAAGACAGGGGAAGAGAAGAGAGACTTTGATTTTTCCGTTCCAAGCCCATTACATTCGTGATTCAGATAAAGAACGCCGAGGTATTATGCAGCCCTGACCACCAATTTCGTACACCCATTCTTACAGTCGTCATCGAAACAATTATTTGGCGGCGGCCGCCTCGCGCTTTTCGGCCTCGCGCACTTCGCCGCCGGATGCCCTCCACCAGACGTCGGTGCCCCAGCGAATCGCGCGTTCGGCGGCGCCCGTGGGCGTAAAGGCAGGTCGGACATCGAGGAAGAAGACGGGGTCGCCGTTCGGATCGGGCTGGCCGTCGTAGAAGTCGATGACGTATCGGACTTCAGTGGTCTCGTTGCCAACCTTCCGGGTGACGTACCAGTCGTGACGATCGAAGGGGGGCTCGGTTCTGCGGGAAGAAGAGGTTAGCAAAGGAGAAGAAGGGCAGTTGAGAACAGGGCGACGTACTGGAACTTGGAGGGGTAGATCCAGCCCATAACCTGCATCATGGTTGCCTTGGGGGACATGTCCTTGGGGCGACCCTGGAAGCGCGTCAAGGTAGGCGGCATCTCAGTGCCGTTGCTGTCGCGGTAGGCCATCTCAGCCGCGTTCTCCTCACCGCGGCTGCAGACACGCAGACCGCGACCCAGGCCGCGCGCGAAACGGTCCTCCCAGCCGACAATCTCAGCCCAGGCGCCCTCGTTCAGGAAGTTGTGGCAGGCCACCATGGACTCAACGGCGGTGATGTCGGTGTCGGTGTAGCCCTTGCGCAGCAGGGCGTTGTACATCTGCTGGGGCGACGGGTACTCCCAGTTGCCACCGCCCTCACTCCTCGGAATGGTCGAGGGGTCGCGCGACGTCGGCAGGGCGATGGCCTGGTTTGCCGCGGGAGCCTGGGAGAGCTCCTTGAACATGTAGTTGAGAGGGTTGATCTGGGAGAAGAAAGACTTGGACTCGGAGGCAGCTGCCTTGGCCTCGTGGTTCACGGGGCAGGCGGAGGGGTCGGGCTGCGCGGTCTGGCCGTGGTTGACGGGGCATGATGAGGGGGGACTGGCGGGTTTCGGAGGTGGTGCGAGAGCGTCGGCGGACTTTTGGTGCATCGGGCATCCTGGCTGGGTGATGTTAGTCGACTGAGAAATGTCTGGCAAAGGGGGCAAGGATGCGCACCGGTGGTGACATGCCGGCCATCGAGGCAGGAGAATGCGCGGGAGGAGCGCCGCCAACGACGACAGCCGGGGTATCAGCCCAGAACCAGCCCATGGTGACAGCGATTTGTGATGGAGTTGGTGAGGGGTGTTGCGGTGTTTGGGATGATGGGCGCTGACGATTTTGACGATCGGGTCGGGAGGCGTTGAAGACGTGATATCATGGACTTGGAACGAGCGCCCGAAAATTCCCAGTCCCTAAACTTTTGGCGCGTTAGTAATCCGCGCCTGTTGTTGGCCTCCGATGGCGACGGCGAGCAGCGAAGAGGACGGTAATTTTCCGCGACCAGACCCCGGCCTTCGACAGCGGGGCGAGACCACATGATTTCCCGAAGTGCCCCCGCCCAGCGCAGTCAGCACTGGCACTGGCGCCTCGGGGCGCGGCGGCGCGGGTCGGACGGAGCTAGGCCTCTCTGTACGTCACCACTCATACCACGATCCTTCTCAGGATCGGACCGGCCTCGAGGCTCCCGAGCTATCTCTTTGCCCTCCCGCCCCGACATCTCCCTCCTCCGACAACATCCCAAGAGATGAACGGCCTCACTCGCTGTTCTCGCCGCACCGAACCTTCGAGATGAGACTGGCCTTTGTGCTGGGCCGGTGTTGTCCACGACCCGCCTTCCGACAGCCCACCTCCGCCTTCACACCCTACGCGTCCCGATGCTGGCGCTCGACCTTTCGGAGCGCGCCACGACCGCGGCAGCTCCCACCGAATACAGGCCGGATAGGGCGCATCGTGTTGCGCGCTGGAGGAACAGCTGCGCTTGGAACAGCCGCGTTCTTTGAGCTGTCGCAAGAGGATAATGGCGGCACCGATCAAACCGCCGAGGGGCGCATGCTCGAAGTCAGCAGAGACGAGATCAAGAAGAAGGTCAACCACGATGAGCCATTACTGAAAAGGGTCTGGCAAGGCATGGTTCTGGCTGTTGACACGTACATCCTCGAGCCGGTGTCCACTGGCATCAGGTTCCTACACCTTGTCGTCATCTTTGTGCCTGTCATCTTCGCGGTGCCAGCGATATGGATCGGCCGTCGCCAGAAGGACCGCGACAACGAGCGCTCGGGGACGCTGTGGTGGTATGGATTTCTGGTCCAGGCCATGGAGTGGGCAGGCCCAGCATTCATCAAGGTGAGATCTTTCCCAGGAGCTTCCGAACTCTCCATCTGACGAACTTCAGCTTGGTCAATGGGCCGCATCACGAACAGACATCTTCCCCAACGAGATGTGCGAGATCATGTCCAAGCTACACTCCAACGCACCAGCACACTCGATAAGGGCCACCAGGCGCATCGTATCCCAGGCCTTCGACGGACGCGCCTTCGAAGACATATTCGAAGAATTCGACGAGACGCCTCTTGGAGTTGGTGCCATTGCGCAGGTGTACAAGGCCAAGCTCAAGGCGGATCTGGCGACTCCGAATGCGGACCTGTACGAGGAGCCACAACAGCTGCGCCAGCGGGTGGTTCAAAATGTCGAGACGACATTCAAGAGTAGACCGAAGCGCGTGCCCTCGACCTACGTCGCTGTCAAGGTCCTACATCCCAAGGTTGAGCGCACCGTCCGCCGCGACCTCCGCATCATGTGGTTCTTTGCCTCCGTTCTCAACGTCATCCCGACCATCGAGTGGCTCTCTCTCCCCGACGAGGTCGAGCAGTTTGGCGAAATGATGAAGCTGCAGCTCGATCTCCGAATCGAAGCGACGAACCTGACCATCTTCCGACAACACTTCCGCGAACGCACAACTGTCTCGTTCCCCTACCCTTACACTGAGTTTACGACACGCAACGTTCTGGTCGAAGAGTTCGCCCAGGGCATTCCTCTTGCCGATTTCTTGGAGAACGGTGGTGGCGTATTCCAGCACGATATTGCCAAGGAGGGTCTTGACGCCTTCCTTCGCATGCTGCTCATCGACAACTTCGTCCACGCTGATCTGCACCCCGGCAACATCATGGTGCGCTTCTACCAATCCGAGCAGCCCGGCATCGGTCGGCGTCATCGCGACCCCGATCCACAGAACCAGGAGGACGTCACCGAGCAGGTCCTCGCACGACTGCGGCCGTACCGCCACCGCAAGAACCCCGCAGCTTGGGCGGCTGAGCTACAGAAGATCGACAAGGAGGGCTTCCGCCCGCAACTCATCTTCATCGACACCGGTCTCGTGACAGAGCTCAACGCCACCAACCGCCGCAACTTCCTCGACCTCTTCCGTGCCGTCGCAGAGTTTGACGGCTACAAGGCAGGCAACCTGATGTGCGAGCGGTGCCGTCAGCCCGACGCAGTCATCGACAAGGAAGTCTTCGCGCTCAAGATGCAGCACCTCGTTCTGGGCGTCAAGAGCAGCACGCTCGCCCTCGGCACCATCAAGATT